GTGTACATTTTTTCTTTTTAAAGCATGTTTTTAATACAGGAGAAACATCAGCTTGGCTGTGAGGCAATTCCACCCCCACCCCCACCCCCCGCAAAAGCATTTATTTCATGCAGTAGTTAACATTATATGATATGTACCTTGGCACTGAAACCAGCATTTCAGTCTCGCTGGAGTCCAGTTTTTCCTTGGCTTGCAATGAGGATTAAACCATTAGGGGCCTTAATAGTCCTCGTTTCTAGCAGAAATAGGTGTGTGTTACTGCTCTGCAGACTTTGGTGGACCTTGTGAGAGTACTGACCCTTGAAAATGATAATGGCTTCAGTTAATGTGACCCTTCTGGCGAGGATAAATTATTGTTTTAGTGTTTTATATAGTTTTCTCCTCCTAATAAATTGGCTCCGTAATAGGCTGATACTGGAGCTAGGGATATGTGTGAGTGTGTGTGTGTGGTTTCTATGCTTGAATGGGAGAGAATTCCTTGGTGACTTCAATGCAGCTGAAATTTCTTTAGGAAGGCTGGGACAAATTTGCCAATTTCAGTTGACACATCCCAATCTTCAGTTCAGTTCTCCACTCTCTGAAAGAATTTTTTTCTTGGGGGCAGGGCAGATTGTCATTAAAACTCACCTGCATTTTCATTTTTTTGCAGGTTTTGCTTAGAGCAAACACATGCAGCTTTGGCTGATGTGCACATTTTGTTACAAGCCATTTTCTCTAATATATTGAATTTTAAGATACCTTTTTCATGAAAATAATCATTTTCATGCACACTTTTATGATGATTATTATTTTTTGTACACCTGCAGAAAAAGGGATGGATAATAATGCAACCGGTGGTGGCTGGTGCCCATTGGGACTGGCAGGGTAAAAAGCAGGGTGTCCAAACCAGAGGTGGAGTCACAGCCAATGACAGGTAGAGCCACTACCTGATTGGATATGAGTAAGAAGGCAGGCAGGTGGGGTTGGCTGAGGACAGACTGAGGTTGCAGGTGTAGGGGCAGTGCCCCATTTCCCCAATGGACTAGCTTCCAATGAATGATAGTGATGCCTGGAACACCTTCACCCTTTTCCTAAGCTGTTCTTCCTGCTTTCTCTTACCAGGGCCGTGGGAACAACGTGATTCACTGCCGGAAAGACGGCACCTGGAGCGGCTCATTTCACCTCTGCAGAGGGATGCAAGGACACTGCTCCCTTCCCAGCCAGCTGAGCGGGGGCCTGAAACTGCAGTGTCCAGACGGATACAGCATAGGTATTTATAAGGTTTCTGCCAGCTTAGAAGCCAAATGGTTGATGTCAGTGAAAAAGGCAGGAGAAAGGCAAGGGTTCTTCAAAAGCTTCCTCTTCCGTCTCCCACCTTCCCCCATTGGCCTGAGTCTCAAAACAACACAGCTAATTAATCCTTCTTGAAAGGGCAAGACAGACTTTAAGGTGCCAGACCTCTTGGTAACATATGATGCTCCCTTGCACTCACATAACAGGGCGGTTCTCTGTGGTCCTTGGTGATGGCTGCTCACAGTTAAACTGTGGGTAGCAGCCTTTATGTAACTATGTGCACAGGCACTTCTGTGTGGATGCTGCAGTGACCTTGTAGTCTGTTTAACCTGGAGAAGAGAAGAAACAACTAATGGGAAGCATGGCAGTGCAGGGATGAGGAACTCTGTGGTACTTCTGATGTTGCTGGACTACAGCTCTTGTTATCCCTCACTATGGACCATGCTGGTTGAGGCTGGAGGAGCCACAGGTTCCCCATCCCTGCAACAGCAGTCTCCAAATATCTGAAGGGCTACCGTACACCTGTTGCCTTAGGGTATAGCCTAGCATGGAATGAGTGGAAAGCAGATTTTGGCTGAAAAATTGAAGAGGCTTTCTGTGGGTAAGAGCTGTTCAACAGAGGACTAGCTTGCCACTGGAGATGCTGAGCTCTTCTTCTGGAGGCATTTGGTCCATTTATCAAGGATGGGAATGTATCAAGGATGCTGCAACATCATGCATTGAGCAGTGGCTTGGACTAGATAACCCCCAGTGTCCCTTCAGATTTTTTATGATTCTACAAAGAAGACGCCAGCTAGATCAGACCAAGGTTCCAGTTTTCATGAATGCTAGTGTGGCATCCTGTTTGCCTCGATGACTCCACAAAGTGCACAAGCAGGACATTATGGATTACATCCAATATTCATCATACTCTGAACAGATCTGTTGAAATTAATGGGCATTACTAACTTACATCCATTGATTTCAATGGGTCTATTATGAATACAAAACCTGGAGAGCAACTGCTGGTCATTGTTGACCAGGGATGGTGAAGCAGTGACTCTCCAAATGTTGTTTGACTGCATTTCCCAGGGATGCAGGTTTTCTGTTCCTGGTGTAGGCAATATTGAGCTAGGCAACCTCAAGTCCCGATTACTACAATGTATTCAGTGTGGGACTTCCCTTGGGCCCAGTCCAGAACCTCCAGCCGATGCAGAATGCTGCAGCTAAATTGTTGTGGACAGCCTATTACCAGTGCATAACTCAAAATCTTCCACTGCCTACCCATGTGCTACTGGGCCAGGTTCAATGTTCTGGTATCATTTGGCAAGGCCCTTAACAACTTCTGTCCAGGGTAGCTAAAGGACCACTTGATCCCTTCTATCCCTCCCTGATCACTGAGGTCTTCAGAGGAGTAATTTGTAGTGGGGCCCCATGGTTCTGGTGCACAGTTCGTATCCACCAGGAGCTGTGTTTTCAGTATTGTAGCCCCAATTTTGTGCAAATCCCTTCCAATAGGGCCCCCTCCCTATTGAACATCTTTCTACAGAAGACTTCTAAAAAATCAGCAGGCATTTTGACTTCTGTCTGATTTTATAGTTTGAACTGATTTTTACCCTTTTTTGTATTTATTGCACACTGCTTAAAAACTATTGCAGTTAAGCGATGTATAAATTGTTTAAATAAACAGATAACTAGGTAGGTTAATGGCCTGGCTTGGTATAACACAACCTCCATTGTCCCAATGACATCCTGAAAACATTTGCCTGTGGTTGTAGAAGCAGAATGTAAGACAAGCCTGCTGGGTCAGTCCAATGGCCCATCTCGTCTAGCATCCGTGTAACTGTGGGATTCCTGCAAGCTGAACACAATGAGCACAACAGCACTCTGCCAACCTGCATTTCCCAGCAAGTGGTATTCAGAGGCATAGAAACATAGCCATGGTGGCTAATAACCCTTGAAGAAGACAGTTGTGCCCTGTGGGAATGGACCCTCTGCTGGTCAACACCTTTTCATTTGTCCATATCATGGACACAATGCCAGGGTTTGAAACAGGAGTCTTTTGCATCCCTTCCTGGAGATGCCAGGGGCCGGATCTCTGGCCTTCTCTATGCAAAGCATAGGCTATGGACCTTCTGTGAGTGGCCCTTCCACAAAGTGTGAGCATCACTGACAAGGGATGGGGGAGAGATTTGATTCAGTTTGCATTTGAAGACAAATCCACTTAATTCACACTTTCTGAAATAATCCACTAACTGAGGCACACTCTCCTTTTGAAATATACACGTCTCTAAAGTCATATACTAAGGAAAAATGCACACTACATACTTTCAAGTACAGCTAATGTTGAAAACAACATACACAAATACATTATATAGAGGGAAATTGCTCTGCAAGTATGTGTATGTCAAAGCAAAACTGCAGACAAAAGGTTACATTTGGAGAAATCCACACTAAAATGCTGATGATTTTCCATGATAACTTAAAAAAAACACCAAAAACAAAACAAAACCTGGCAAACTGATGTGGCAATGTGGATAACTTAATTTTGAGATTGGAAAAGGAAGAAACTGAAACTGACAGATCCTCCCATCCCTATCACTGATCCAGGTTGTGTAGTCCTACCAATACAGCACAGATGCATTGCAGGTATAGCTCCAGGTCTATGTGTGTTTGTGTGATTTCCCCCTGCGCCATTCTCTCCTTGGCTATCATTTTGAACTCCAAAGAAATATCTCCCCTCCCCTCTCTCTTACACATACACTGTGCTGATCCCTCATTATAGCCTAACTATTGTGAGTTGCTTCAAGGCCTTCCCAAGGGGGAGAGGAATGCAACCTAGATGAGCTCACTGCTCTGTAATGATGCCAATTATGGATCACATATCAAAACAATTCAGGCCTGCTCCTCTCCTGAAGTGTAAATTGCACTGCTGGTGAAGCAGTGAGACGGCAAGCAGGCATCCTTTTCCCTGACAACGTGTATTATCTCTGGAGAAGAGGTGACCTTTAGATGCCTACCAAAGGTTGCTGTAGCATTCAAGGGACATCTTCCCCCCTCATTTTTCATAATGCTGGGTCCTAACTTTCTTTTTTTTGGTAGAGGGGGCAAGGTGTAGGACTGGAAGCTAAAATGGAAATTAAATGGCAGTTGCCTTGTTCCACAAGGTATTGTTTTGTTATTCATTTATGTCACTTCCCCCATGATCATAGAACCATAGGATTACAATTACAGTTATCCTCCTTGTTTTAGCCTTATAGCAAACTTTGGGGGTAAGGCTGCAGCAATTAGCGCTGGCTCTGCCAGTATGTATTATGGACCAGGGTCAGTCTGAGCCTGGGTTTTCCGTGCTCAAGTCGTTAGGGTAGGTAGCAACTTCTACCACCTTCGGGCAGTGGTGAGCTGCAATAAACCCATCTCAGGGGTACAGCCTCTGCTTTGCATGCAGAAAGCCCCGGGTGCAATCCCAGGTCAGCCTGTAATGTCACCAGCATGAAATTCTGGTGGGCCACAGCCAGCCAGCATAAACAATATTGAACTATCAGCAGCTAGTAGCCATGATGGCTATGCTGTGCCTTCTCAGCCAGAGGCAGTAATGCTTTTGCATGCCAGTTTCTGGAAACCACAGGAGAGGAGAGTGCTTGTGCTAAGATTCTGCCTGTGGGTTTCCCATTCAGGTATTTGTCTGGTCACTGAGAGAACAGAATGCTGGATTAGATGGGCAGTTTGTGTGGTGCACATATGTTACTTGGAAAAATGCTGGGGATTGAACCCGGAACCTCCTGCATGCAAAGCAGATATGCTTCTTCTGAGCTATGGTCCTTCCACATAGATGGGTCATTGGCCTGATCCAGCAGGCTCTTCTTCCATTCATTGTCATTGGCTGGGCCCACCCCCACAACCCAGAAGGCAAAATCTATCCCAAGCAAGGCCTCTGATGAATATCTTAACAGCTGTGCAGAATCATTGGGGAATAAGCAGGCTATTTCGGTGGTTTATAGGTCAGGCGTTGCATTGAAAGAGGCATCTGTTGTCAGCAAGAACAGAATCTTGTCTAGTGAGTGACAGATAGCCACCCACACATACAGACATACCCTCCAGTCCTATGTTGTGTCTTCCATCCACTGGGAATGAACCAGTAACAGCTGTCTATGCAATTTTCCCAGAAAGCTTAATAAAATGCTGCTATCAGTGAAACTGCATCCATGGGATCTGTTAGGTTGGCACGTATATACACAGGTGAAACTCAGAAAGATAACCCATCTTCAAACAACAGCAAAATCTATCTACCCGTTTGACTCAGCCACTCAAAAATAATGGAAGGCAAGCCTATCCAAAGGCATTTAAAGGCAAACCTATCTAATTTGCAGTTTCTGAAACAATGTGCAAACTGAAACAAAGCTATTGTTTGAAATTCATTCTTTTCCATATTTTGCAATGCAATTTCTCCATCCAAGTAATGTGTAAAAATAGCAATAGTCACAATAATACTAGAGTAAAAATGCACATATCAGTGAAAATATTGTAATATATTTGGGGCAATTCTTTTGGAAATATGTGTATATGTGAGGGGAAATGGCATAAAAGCTGTGTTCATTAAGAGAAATTTGCACTAAAATACTGGTAAATTTTAATGAGGACTTTAAAGAAAAACTTACATGGCAATGTGAAGAACTGAATTTAAGACTGGGGGGCAGGGGGGTGAGAAACTGGGAGAGACCAAAATGGGTAGATGCAGACATTGGTGTTACTGCAGACACCAATCAGGGAAGGGTTTGTTGTGAGCCATAAGTGAGAAGCTGCCTCCCCTCTTTGGTCTTGTTTCTGATACTGATTGGAGTTCAGAGCTCCTTAATGACACACTCACAGCAGCTGTGCCACTGTGAGAGTGATTTCGCAGAGGGGGAAAGCCAATGCAGCAGTGGCGGCAGCACCCCCAGGGGTGTAGGTTTGTGTCTTCGAAAAGCTCTAATATATTACTGCTTACCTTAACAGGGAGAGGGCAGGGCTCCTGTGGTGCGCAACCATTAGGCAAAATGAATAAGGGGCTCACCTGCTAGCAACTGTGCCACACCACTTGTGCCCTATGTAAACAGGTTTCAAATGCATTTCAGGCTGAAAGCTCCTTCATAGAAAGAAATCATATCTGTTTGATTAATCTGTTTAGGTCTCACCTCTTCCTCCTGAAGATGCTCAAGGTGGTAATAACAGCAATAGTAAGACTAATTTCCATGCACATAGAAAACTAGCTTGCCAGAGAGATGGGCTCCCTGGCTTGCTTGATTTCTGTGTGCAAAAATCTATGTGTGATCTCCCTCCCCCCCCTCTCTCTCTCTGTGTGTGTAAGTGGGCATTGATAGATATAAAATTCTTATTGTCTTGTTACATTTGTACCCTACTCTTCCTCTAAAGAAATCAAGATGGTGGTGATGGTGGTTGTCAGACGTTTATATCTCAACTTTCTCCCTGACATGGACTCAAGGTGGATGCAGATAAAAATAAGAACAGCTAAAAACATAGGTGGGGGGGGGAATAATTAAAAGCAATTAAACATAGATAGAATTAACACTACACACACACACAAATGGAGAGAATAAAAATAGCATGGCAATTCAACAGGCTTTTGGGAACTACATGGTTCTCCCCATCTCTATTTTATATTCTCAATTATTGATCATCATAGTTGTTATATTTATATCCCACTTTTCCTCTAAGGCAGGCGAGCTAACGTACATGCTTTCTTCTTCCTTCAAATTTTTCCTCTGTAAATTAGAATAGATTGAGAGGCAACAGCAACCAGCCCAAGTTCACCCCAGGGCTTCATAGTGTGTGTTTGAATCCCAGTCTCCTGGGTCCTAGTTCAACAGTCTAAGTATTACACTGCATTGGTTTCCTTACTGAGAACTGGGTTGTTCATCTGCATGTGTCCTGCAATGTCCACATACTTACGGAGTGAACTTTCTAAACTGGTGTTGTATACAACCAGGTCTTTCCCAAAAGTTTGCAGGGCACTTACATACAGTGGTGCCTCTAGTTGGTACCACTTAATCCATTTCGGGGTGCCGTTCGCAACCCAAAAAGTCTGCAACAAGAGTGCCTCTTCTGCACATGTGTGAGGCACAGTTGAGTGCTTTTGTGCATGTGTGAAGCACGCAGATTGCTTCTGCGCATGCGCACGTGGAGAATCCAGAAGTAAACACTTCCGGGTTTTCTGCGTTCGTAAGCTGAAAGTCCATAACAAGAGCGGAACGCAACTAAAGGTACCACTGTACTCATAAAAAGTGAGCTATCCAGCAGCATACTGTATATGGGCAACTTCCCTGTTTGTGCAGTAGCCTTGCTTCTGGCTTTCAGTTTATGAGATTGGGTACAAGTGATCTGCATCAAGTCCTGATGAGGAGAAGAACCCAAGCTGGAGTGCAGAAGAAGAGGAAGAAGAAGAAGAAGAAGAAGAAGAAGAAGAAGAAGAAGAAGAAGGGTTGTTTGGATTTGATATCCCACTTTATCTCTACCCTAAGGAGTCTCAAAGTGGCTAACAATTTCCTTTCCCTTCCTCCCCCACAACAAACCCTCTGTGAGGTGAGTGAAGCTGAGAGACTAGCCCAAGAGACTAGCCCAAGGTCACCCAGCAGCTGCATGTGGAGGAGCGGGGAAGCCAACCCGGTTCACCAGATTACGAGTCCACTGCTCTTAACCACTACACCACACTGGCTCTCAGAAGAGGATGCAGGCAGGAGTCCATAGCAGCCAGCCAGTACAGGGAACTGAAGGGCAAGGCATTTGCATCCACTCCGGAAAGAGAGTGGCCAATGCCAAGCCCTTCAGAACCCTGGACAGGTACCAAGGAAGAGGCAACCTTCTCCAACATGGGCTGGTTGCAGGCTGAGCTATTGTATAGTCATTCAGCCTGACTGCCTTTGCTAGAGAATGGAGATCCTTAAAGGAAGAGGCCTCTGGCATGCAATCTAGCATTTGGTCACTCATCTGCTGGGCATGCCTTTTGCAGTGGTGAGCAGATTTTAGACACAATGCCTTTGGGGATCAGTGATGCTGCTCCTTCTCTGTGCTGCAGTCCATGGATTATGATGCTTCCTGGTTAGTGGGCCTGAGCTTATCATCACAGTCCATATTTGGAATTCATGTAGGTGGTAGGTACTACTGGCTCAACTGGCCCCCATCCTTCCATTCAAAACATTCAGAATCATAGCATTGGAACCAACCCCAAGGGTCATCTAGTCAAACCCCCTGCAATGCATAAATCTCAACTAAAGAATTCATGACAGATGGACATCCAAACTCTCCAAGGAAGGAGAGCCCACAAATTCCCAAGGGAGACCATTCTTCTGTTGAACAGCTCTTACTGTCAGAAAGATCTTCCTGATGCGTAGTTGGAATCTCATTTCTTGTAACTTCAAGCCATTGGTTCAACTCCTACTCTCCAAAGCAGGAAAAAACAACCTTGCTCCGTCTTCCATGTGACAGCCCTTGAGATATTTGAAGATGGTATTCTATTTCTTCCCAGTCTCCTCTTTTCCAGGCCAAACATACACAGCACTGTCAACCGCTCCTCATAAGGCTTGGTTTCCAGACCCTTGATCATCTTGGTCGCCCCTCTGAACACTTTCCAGCTTGTCAATATCCTTCTTAAATTGTGGCACCTGGAACTGGACACATTACTCCAGGTGTGGTCTGACCAAGGCAGAATAGAATGATACTATGACTTCCCTTGATCTGGACACTATACTGTTAATGCAGCCTAGAATAACACCAGCTGTTTTTGCTGCTGCATTACACTTTTGGCTCATGTTAAGCCTGTGGTCCACCAAGACCCCTAGATCCTTTTCACATGTACTACTGGCAAACCAGGTGTCCCCCATCTTAGATTTGTGCATCTGCAGAACTTCACATTGGTCCCTATTAAATTTCATTTTGTTAGTCTGGGCCCATGACAAGGGTGATTTGGCTTCTTGCTGGGAAGACTCTCCCCTTCTCATTTTCCTGGCAAATGGTTCTGCTCTTTCCCCTGTTAAGATAAGCCCCCTCTGATCCTGTCAGCTCTGCTGCCAGATTTTAGAACTAGGGTGGGGAACCTCATCCCCAGTGGCTCCCCTCATTGACCCTCTAGTGATTTTCACAAGGCTGGCTGTAGTGTGTCTGTGAATTGTGACTAATGCTGTCTTTCATGCCTGGATGAAATATGGACATGGTACATGTCTAGCCATGTCTGCTTTTGGTACTGCTTGGCATGTGGCCCCTCTTTAAACTTGCCCTTGAGGGAGTGTACCCCCAGGTGAAAAAGATTCCCCTCTCCTCATCTACAAAGATAGTCCCACATTGGAGAACTCCACCCCACTCCTTTTGCTTCTTTGTGGTGACTAGTCCAGTGTGGGTGCAGTGCCAGCTCCAGGTGCAAGGGGACTTGGCAACTCCTTACCCTGCTACAGTGGGGCCCTCATATGTTGGAAGCTCACTTTCACCTCTGGTTTACAGGCTGCTGGTAGCATCAGCAGGCAGCAGTTGCACTTTGGCACCCAGTAGGTTGCTGTGACCACCAGCCATCTAAATTAACCTTGGTGATCTGCACATACATAGTAACATCTGAGGACTTCTTGTGGTTAAATCACAAATCCAGTCTTCCAGCGTGGGAGGTAGCAGAAAGTGTCAGTGGGGATGGGTGTATGGAGCCCAGTGGTTCCCCAAGTGTGCTTGGTGCTAATGGCCCCGTGTGTATGAACCATCTCCTCTGTCTTGTCTGAGCTGGAAGATCTGGCAGTATCTATTCTCTGAAACTCCCTGCCTATTGATATTTAGGCCAAGCCTTTGTTA